CAACAATTGCAAGTGGCATGTTCAAAAATTAAACTAAACATCTATGTATTCTTTTGCTTCTTCTTTTGAAGATAAATAAGCAACTCTGAGGAAGAAGATGCTGTAATATTATAGTCTCATACTCATTCTTCAATACATTTTATTATGTGCACTCGTTCAATGGGAGTACCTATAGTACTAATGTTGCTAAAATTCATACTGGCAATTTGTATTTATTGCTCTTTCCCTGCCAACAATTTCTATCCAAATTGTAACCATAACGTTACAGCTTAATGTTTAAAACAATCCAATTTGATATAATCTGAGTGAATGAAAAGTGACCCCGTTCGGAAGAAACTGTTCCGCCTGTTTAATACTTACTTGATGTGCCCATTTCGTTTCAGTTTCAAGTCACTTTTTTATAACATAAAATTTCCTAAATGTAGTAAATTTCCAGTTTTGCCATAACAATAGAGAAGCTGGAAAGTGTTATGATTTTATACTCTTTTATGTTATAAAAGCGACTTTATAATAATTTTTTTTTATTTCTTCTTTATTATACTGTTTTGCACTCACTAATCTCTCACTGATGCTTATTTTATATTAAACTATGTTTTAGATATATTAAATTTTAAATTAACACAATTTATTACAAAATCTAAAGTTCACAATATATCACACAACTGATCACAATGAAATAAATATATTTACTGAAATGTGAAAACACTTTTCCTTCTGAATTTTGAGAGCAAGAATGATTCTGCATTAAACTATCTTCTTAGTGTATTAAAAAGTGTTAGTTTTTGAAATTTTTATTCTATCTACTTATTATCATTTAATCTTGCTTTTGGTATATTAAAACGCACTAAAATTTAACAAAATTATGATCAAAATTAGAAAGTACTGTATTTTGTTTTTGTAATTTTTTTAACTTAGCACTAAGGAACATAAAATTGAGCCTTTATAGTGACTATTCAGTTCATGTATCCAAAATTAAACTCAAATTTGCTGGCAGGGTTAGTGGGTTGCTAGTGCACACTCACAATGATCGACTGTTTGTCTATTTGTGGTATGAGTAGCTTGTACTAAAGATCGAACAATCGATAGACAATTTATGAGCTCACACACACTCCCAGATACCAGATTTGCAAATAAAATTTATAGACTTGTTATCAGATAGCCCTGCCAGCAAATTTGAGTTTAATTTTGGATACATGAACTGAATAGTCACTATAAAGGCTCAATTTTATGTTTCTCAGTGCTAAGTTAAAAAATTTACAAAAACAAAATACAGTACTTTCTAATTTTGATCATAATTTTGTTAAATTTTAGTGCGTTTTAATATACCAAAAGCAAAATTAAATGATAATAAGTAGATAGAATAAAAATTTCAAAAACTAACACTTTTTAATACACTAAGAAGATAGTTTAATGCAGAATCATTCTTGCTCTCAAAATTCAGAAGGAAAAGTGTTTGCACATTTCAGTAAATATATTTATTTCATTGTGATCAGTTGTGTGATATATTGTGAAATTTAGATTTTGTAATAAATTGTGTTAATTTAAAATTTAATATATTTAAAACATAGTTTAATATAAAATAAGCATCAGTGAGGGATTAGTGAGTGCAAAACAGTATAATAAAGGAGAAATAAAAAAAATTATTATAAAGTCGCTTTTATATCATAAAAGAGTATAAAATCATAACACTTTCCAGCTTCTCTATTGTTATGGCAAAACTGGAAATTTACTACATTTACGAAATTTTATGTTATAAAAAAGTGACTTGAAACTGAAACGAAATGGGCACATCAAGTAAGTATTAAACAGGCGGAACAGTTTCTTCCGAACGGGGTCACTTTTCATTCACTCAGATTATATCAAATTAGATTGTTTTAAACATTAAGCTGTAACGTTATGGTTACAATTTGGATAGAAATTGTTGGCAGGGAGACTTCACATACATATTCATCTATATATATATGTATGTAAGCGTTGTGATGTTGAGAAAATTTTGTTTATGTGATCTATTATTGTAAATGTAAGTCAATATTGATGTGCGATTTTTATCATTTCCCAAAGATTCTCTGAGAGCATTTTTTCCTTTTCCATTAGCACTCAAATACGCACATATACATGTACAACTCTGTAATGTTAAAGAAAGATATTTTGTCGGTGATGATCATGTTTGGTACATGGTTTAGTACTTTTGTCCAATAATATCCCAAATACTAACATAAGTCCTAAATTAGGTCACATGTACATTATTTAACGAGTGTCATTATCGGATCGGATTCCTATGTTACGTCTTAAAAAATGAACTGTACAGGTTTGACTCATTTTATCGGAACCAAAAATAAAAGATTTTCAATTAAAAAAAATGTAATTTTATAAATATCAGGGATCAATTTTACCAATATCTGGGCCCTACAAAGAACAGAATTTGATATACTTCTTATACTTCAACTTCAGCGCATATTTATGTTTAGGTTCAAAAAAGTAATGTGGATTTAATGAGAACTTCAGCATACATGTTGCTCGAGTGTAAGTGGGGCCATAATCACGTCAACTATATACAAACACCAGACGTGTCCAATCGCATACCAGAAACAGAAACTGTGAGACCCACAAACTGTAACATAAGTCAAAGTGCTTTACGTGAACACCTGCCGTGTTGGCCATATTTCACGGTGGTACTTTTACAACTACAGTGTGATCATATTGGACGACTCAGCACCGCCCCATTTGTACATGGTTTTGCCGGTCCATGTACAACCACTTTGCTCAAGTACTCGAGCTATCCAATCTCAAACCATCTAATGTCTGCCCATTGCTTTCCCGTTACATAACTTCCGAGATATAAAAACATCACTTCTGTTGGCAACCACGCAGATGGGATGCCCTCTGTTGATTTGGCAACAGCACATAGAGCCGTAATGAGGACTTGTTCTTACTCACAGAGAACACACTGTGTCAAATCTGGTATGAACAGAGTAAACCCTTAACATACCCACCCGGACAAGGAAGGTAAATGCAATGGCATTACTTTTATAAGATACCTTACATCCATCACCATTCAACCCAGCACACTTCTCATTAATCTGACACACTCACTGATAAAATCATGCGACACACTCTGTTTAGGTATATGGGTCCATGTAAAGCATTTTGCTCAAGTATTCGTACTATCTAATCTCTAACCATTGCTGTCCCATTGCTTAACTTCTGAGATACAAAAACATCACTTCCATTTGCAACCACGCAGATGGGATGGTCTCTGTAGATTCAGAAACAGCATATAGAGACGTAATCGGTAGATCAAAATACGAATCCAGCAAATAAGCCGATTCTAGTTCTCACTCACAAAGAACACACTCTAGCAAATCTGGTATGAACAGAGTAAACCCTGAACATAATCGGACAAGGAAGAAAATACAATGGCATCACTTGTTATATCTAGCACACCACTCATTAATCCAACACACAAACTAAGAAGAACATCCGACACACTCATTCTTTTCCAGCTAGTTTGGGTATAAACCACAGGGACCACTCCAATAACCGGGACAAGACAACATCCGAAACTCTGCCATGTGGGCAACCGATACCCGTGGTACCAGATAATAAGGATCCCTGGATCAACTCCAGGTCAAATCATTCCAAAGAAAGCCCGAGGATACATTTGACAACACCAGTTTATAGCACCGACAGAGGTATTGGTAGCACTTTCCCTTCCCCGGATGGCAATAACACACATCAAGGTAACATACCCCGGGGAACACGAATGTCGAAGTGCTTTACGTGAACACCTGTCCAGAGGGCCACTGCCCCAATGGGTTTTTTACACGCCGGTGGCAATAGCTCGAGCTACCTAATCGCTTGCCATGGTAGACCCGTTGGAGAATAACGGGTGTCATGAGCAAGCTCAATCTAACCCCGACAAAGGAAAAGGCAATCATTGGTTAGAGTCGTTAGAAGAGGCGGATCCAACATTAGGTGAAAACACACTATTGATATCCTGAAGAATGCCATTGTCCGTACAAACATTCTCATCATCTAAAGACTCACCCCAGTGTATTCCTAGACCTTATATGTCGCCCAACCACACTAGTCAGATGGCTTCTGTTGATTCGGCAACAGCACCTAGAGGACGTAATTGGTGGTTCGAAAACTTTTTTAATTAGCGGACTTATTTCAGTGGCCACAAGGACCTACTGTTACAAGTTGAGCATGTTTTGAGTAAACTCCAACATACTCAACCATGAAGGAAAATCACCGATAAATTAAAGATTAAGGTATTACAATTCTACAACGCATCAACCAGCTTCTTCCTTCCGAAATCTCAACAGATACAACTCAGGATCCCTCTTGTCCATCAGATACAAGTATTCGATGGAACATCTCACTCCAACACACACCCAATATTTACATTATCAACTCAAATCCAACATTTTATTAATCCACAGTGGTTTACGGGCACAATTCAAAATTGGACTGATGTGTTAAGACAAATGTAGAGATCTGAATTTAGTAACCATGTAATTTATATATACTGGTACTTTTATTTACCCACACTACCCTAATGAATCAGCAATAACAGTTGTTTACATTAAGGAAATTACATGAACTCTCTCAGTTGTAGAACAAACCTGAAAAAATGAATCTCAGTTCGACAACATCACATTGTCTGTTTGTCTGTCTAATGAATTTGTTGAACTTTTGTTGGTAAATAGAAATTTAAGTTGGCAACACCAAATGTTTGTTGTCATTGTTGTTTGGTGTATGTAATTGTTGTTGTTTGTGTGTGTGTGTTTTTTTTTTCTGTTACAAACATTAGATGCATTTTATTGTTTTTGCATGGATTTTTTTTTCATCGTTGGGCGCCAAACAAAAGTTGAAACGCTCTACTCAATTGCAAAAATAGAAATAATGAAAATGAATAATAAAAAAAAATCTGAAAAATAAACTTAATAGAAAGAAAAATGTATAAAAGGCAGAGAACTTTGATGTTTGATGGCACATTAGTTTTAACAACAATACTTTACAGTTCAACATATAGTTTACAACAGTTTTTCAAACTTAGAATAAAAAAATAATAAAAAAAAATCCATAAATTTTTAAAAAAATACTATTTACATCATAGTAGAACAAAATAAATCTAATTAATTTGCTATTAAAAAGTGATGAATAATAAAATAAAATTTATATACTGAATTTAAAAAATTATATATAAAATTGTGCAAACTAAAGACTTTATAAAAGGAATATAAAACAACATTTTGAAAAATGGCGCTCACTTTTAAAGTGGTGAGTTTTTTTTTCTTGTTCGATAAATATGGTGAAATTTATTTGTATGCAAATACAACTATGAACATTTTAAGAAAATACATATTTATAAAAGTGCAACAAATATATTCAATTTGCTGATATACATAATTCAAAGGATTAAATACGTTGGCAGTTTATTTGAAATTTCGACTAGACGGATAAAATTATCCTAAATCTCTACACTTTTAAATAAATTTGTTTCTAACTGGATAATTGGATAAACTCGACCGTAAGGTTGCGATACTTTACTTAGGTTGAAAGTGTCTCTGTGTTTTCAAACAAGAAATGATACCCAACGGATAATGTGGAAGAACTAAGTAGCAAGGATTCGATATTAATCCTATCTAGATCAGAGGAGAGTAAAATCTCAGATTTATCATCCTTAAATCCGTAAAATTATTTACTATTACAATACTATACTATTTACAATACAAATTCAAATAAATTAACTTTCCAGTTGCTTTCTTTTAATTATTCTGCAACATTAAGTAAACTTTAATTTATCAAGATATAGTTTTCTTTTCTTAATTATCCTGATCGAACGTTCGTTCCTAATAATTGCATATATTATAAAATGTTAGTAGTAAAAAGTTCATGTCCATTGCTAAAACGAAACATCTGTATCCTTAAATCCATATTTTGAAAATCGGCTGAAAACTTACCAAAAAGGTCTAATATAATTTTAAACCTATAAATGGCCCGATAATTATAGAATTTTGTAAACTGATTAATTAGGTGGGAACAAGGATTCGTTTTCAAATCATAAATAAGATAATACTCAATAAAAGAACGAGTATGTTCGGTAAGATGCCGGAGATCAAATGTTAAAAAATAGCGTTCGATGTTTCATATCATTAGGTATTTCTGAGCTATAGTATATACTTGATATTTTTATGCCCTACGCCCATATAGCGGTGAGGGTATTAGACGTATGTACTGATATTTTTGGCGAACAAAAATATTGATACTACACCCACCTTAACTCTTTCACTCATACGGGACACCGGTGACCAAACATTTTTTTTTTAAATTTTTCTCGATTTAGAGAGTAGTTTTGAGTTCAGAGCTACAGTATATGATTATTACCAAATAAAACTAGGTTATTTTTTAGAATTTGATAGCATTTTTGCAAAAAAGGATAATATCCTGCGATATCCTTCAAAAACACTTTTTCAATTTTTCATCAAAAATGATCAATATACGTCAAAATGAAGTGTCTAGTGAAGTCATATCCATAAAAATTTCAGCGGTTTAGTTTTGTGCGTGAAAGGGTTAAAGTATCGGCTTAGAAACATTTTTTGCAATTTTAAAGACAACTCAGGACAACAAATTTTTAAACCATAGACCAAAGTATATTTTTTTAAAGGATTGAGCCCTGCCTCAGAATTACTACATCACATCTGGGATCGAGCCCTGAAGTTCGAATTTGTGACGTTATAACTGCTCGAAAACAACTTTATTTATAAAATGTTGAAAGTCCGTTCTATCAGTATATAGATTCGGATTCAGTGCTGTTCTATCCCCTAGAAACGTTTAACTTGGTCTTAGGGTTTCGAATTTTTTCAAATTTTGTCAGCCTGTGTAATTCGATGAAATTTGGTAGATGTATTACCTTTGATCCAAGGACGATTTTGTTTCAAATCGGCCCATTATTTCACCTAACCCTCATACCTCGGAATATCCCTAATATAGCTTTGTATGTTATAATTATTAACAATAACGATCATAATGGGCTTATACATATTAGTATCCCTTTCATAATCGGCATAAATTTGTTTTATATCAACACGACCCAAATACAAAGCACATTGCAGAAAATCACTTTATAGGCAATAAATATCATAAATATATAGAAATTGAGGTAAAATCCGACATCAGTGATAAACAATAATATCATATAAAAACATTTTAAATACACAGAGGGATATTGACACCAAACTGTTTATAATTTTTCAATAACATTCGTTGTCAAAGTATAAACATACGTACGACAACACTATGTAATGTTGACAACATTGCAACAATTCGTTGTCGAAATATAAATTTTATATACATCCGTTGTCTAAATGTTAACAAACAATCCGTTGCCAATAGTGAGCTTTCCACGATTTTTATTCCACGGATGTTATTATATTATTATAAACTCTTGGGTGTCATTTGGTACCAGGCGTGTATATTTCTTTTTCCCTCTGTGTAAACTTATAACTATTATATGTAATACCATTGTACACCACGACGTATTAGTAATTTATTATAACCACCATCTAAAAAGATGGGGGTACATTGATTCTGTTCTAAAACCAAAAAAAGTATTCTATATGTTCTAGGGCCTTATTATATTCTAAGACGATCTAGCTATGTCTGTCCGTTTGTTGAAAACAGAGGATCCGAATGGAAAAAGCTAGAGGTCTGAATTTCTCCAAAAACACTTTCTATTTTTATATGAAATTCAACATAAAGAAGTTTTATATAAGCCGATATCTCTCTCTCTATTAGCATCGGTCCACAATTGACCCTACCCCCCATATAAGGTCCTCTTCAGAAATTGAGTTTAACGCTTTAAATGGTTTAAAATTTTATAAGTATCAAAATTTCCCTTCAGAATTTTATGAATATCGGTTCATAGTTGACCCTTTCCCCAGTATAATATCCAATTTAGAAAATAACTACATTGTTCATAACTGGTTTAAAAATGCTGTTAAAGCAATTATACTCGCCTTAAATAAGTTTTATAAGAACCAAAACCTCTCAATCAAATATTATGAGGATTGGTCCATAATTGACCCACCCCCATTTAGAACATGAATTTAATGATCATACCGACTTATGACCCTTTGTTAAACTATTAACTATTTCGTATATTATTCAAAAACTATTCCATAGATTAGTCAATAGACTAGTCCATAGTCCAGCCAAGATAAAAGTACATAGACTAGTCTACAGACTATATAGACTGACTCATCCATAAACTAATTGGGTTCTATTCCCAACTGAGGCACTGGCAAAGGAGCGCACAGCAGGCCTGGATGTGGGCCTAGATGTATTTACTCGGATTTGATGTTGTATAAATGTACATCCTCCTTTCAAACCAACTAGGTAGGGTAGGTTAGGTAGGTTACGTGGGTTACTCGATAACCTTAGAATTACCATTCCCTAATATTGAGAGAATGGTTTGCCTCCCTAATTTCGTTAACTACTTGGTTCGTTCGGTCTCCGTGTAAACCAGCCGGTGCTTTTAATAAAACCGATCATGTTTTTTAGTGACACATCTCTGAGACAGTCTATATCATGGAAAAGAGCTCTATCAAGATAGAGTAGTCTGCTTCTTCGTCCAAGCAGCTTCTACAGTAACTATTATTTGGGTAGCCCATACGTTCCGACATATGTCCAATCATACAGTGCCCAGTAATTATACAGTTAGAAGCCTAATCGAGTTCTTACTAAGAGACAAGAGAGCCCTAGTTCTATCTGTTGTCAGAGTGGGCCAGAGCAGTCTCGATATTCTACAGTTGGTGATATTTGACCACCTGAATTCCGTCTCACTCAAAGCCCATTCATCTATCAATTTTGATAGGGTCGTTAGGAGAGTGTGAATATACTTTTGCGCAAGGTTTGAGTCTAATTCTAACTATTTAGTACTTTAAATCCATGACAAGTGCTTTTTTTGACAAAAGTTAGTACCATTTCAAAATTTTAAGTTTCCATGCCTGGTTTCGGTTTCTTTATCCGATTATCAAAAAAAGTCCTTTTTGAGAATAAAAGTTCATTTCGGTTTCTTTATCCAGTCTAATATAAAGATATAATCTATTATTTGGTCTATAATTCATAAACTAGTTCCTAGACTAGTGAGATAGTCTGTGAATAAGTTTCTTTATTAGCTATTCCATGGACCTTCCGACCTTGGACCTTTAATATCTAGAACATACATAACATGAACCTAAAATTTTTTTATTAGATAGATTTCAATCAAATATCGAAGTAACTAAGAAATTCTAATAAGAATGCCTTCGTAAGACCCGGAAAATTTAAAAGAAGTTCAACTAAATATTTTAATTAAAATAAATATTTTAAGAAACATTATTTTGTTTGAGCATAAATTTATATTTACAATTGACTAAATAACTATTGACCCAATTTCAAAACTAGATCAATCTGATCTCAATTATTGCTGTTTAGTGAGTTGTAACAAATTAACAAACAAAAAAAAAAAAAAAAAAAAAAAAACGCAAATAAATCAAAACTGATTTTAATTGTTTAAACAATAAAACACAAATTTGGATGCTTATGCTCTATTTAATCATAAGAATTCCTTGCAACAACTTTGCCACAAACAAACGATAATGTGGCACTTGGCAAACAAGTTCTAAATTAGAATGAAATACAATATTTATTGAGTATCAAGATGAGCAGCTGATAACTATGAACTATAAGTGTTTAACAAAATGTTTGTATTTTTTTTTCTAAACGAATGAATGACTGAGTGAATGAATGATTGAATATGTTTGAATATAAAATTACCAAACAAATCAAACTTGCACTAAAACTTGCCAAAACACAATAGATACGTATTAATTACAAACTACAGTGGACGTCCAATAGTACGTATACTCTTTATTACGAATATCCAATAATACGAATGGCAAAATTGTTGCATTGTCTACTCTATAGTACGAATAAAGTCACAATTTTTCTGTTCGATAGTACGAATAAAGCATTTTTTATGGGAATTTTGGTTTTATTTACGTATGAATGAAGTTTTTATTATGCTTTTATTTTATTATTTCGGTATCATTCACCTTAAGCTCAGTAATTTTGAAGTTTTTTTGTATTTATTACAAGTGTTTTGTATTTTTAAAAATCCTATACACACAATTTACTGCATGTATATTTACTAGAGCCCTGCATGAGTGACTTAAATAATAAATTAAAACATTTGATTTTTTTCAAACACTGTGTTTGACTCACTCATTGTTTTATGA